CCAGCCTGTGCCTGCGGGAGGAGCGAGCATGTGAGGGGTTTGCTGGCCATGTGCAAGGCACAGCAGCTCCCCAGGCACACCAAGTGCTCCTGCCAGATGTGCGGGAAAGCCCCACTTCCCCATGAGGGAGAGCTTTGGGGCTGGGATGTTCCCTCTGTGCCCCTCTCTGCCCGCGGCTCGGGGGGCTCACGCAGGTGATGGGCAGCTCAAGCCCCTTTGCCGGCGCGGTGGCTGCGGGGCAGCGCCGTGTCCCTGTGCGCTCAGCTCCAGTCCTGGCCTCCTGTTACTGCAGCAGGCAAGCTGGGTTCAGCGCGTTGAACCTGGCACACGTTAATCAGGCCAGCAAAAGGTCCCCTCGTCCTCCTGCCTTTGGACGCCTTCATCAAGGCTTTGCAGCGCACTCCAGCGAGGCTCTCCCTCACCCTTTACAAAGAAATAGTTGCCTTAAGTCGCACACTTTCGGGCCCAGTAAAAATTACACAGCAGTCGTTACAATTTACACGCTGGCTTATAAAGCTTGCACTTAGAAAGCCGTTTTCCTCCCAGCCCTTACAGCTGTTTCGTGGTGTGGGGGTCGCTCAGGGCGGCAACTGGGTAACGCAGGACACGCTTTTCCCAAAGCCAATTCCCTGTGGTTGCGCTGTGGGTCCCGCTCCTGCTCAGGGCCATACCAAGCGTTTTGTGAGCAGATACAAATGGTCACTGGCTGCTGCCATGGGAGACCCCCACATGCACCCCCTGACATCCCCATTCCTCCAGGGACGCCGACACGGCCCTGCTCCGGGACCCTCCTGCTCCCTGCAGGCGACGGTGGCAATCCTGGCACGCTGAGCGCCGCTGCGAACCCCTGCACGCCTGGGGAGGCCATGCCCTGGGTGGCTGGAAGCCATCCTCTGGTTTAGGCGTGGCCAAACACACCATGGCTGGATCCCACCCTGTCACTCAAGGGCTCTGCTCCCTTCCAGATCCCAGCCTTGCATGCCTTGCCCGGATCTCACACACCCACCAAGCCAGAGCTCCCGGCAGATTTAGCCGCTGGGAGGGGATTAGTCTGGCTAAGCCAGCCTGCTTGAAATCGCGCCCTTGCGTCCGGTGGGAACTGCCAATGTTTCGGGGCTCCTGTGGG